GAAAGTATTTAAAAGTTGTAACTGTAAAATAAATGTTCAATACACTGGATGTTTTAAAAATATTATTTACCCTCTCCCTTGCATGACATTTGCATGTTCAACAACCGTAGCCATACGCATGAAAATCTTCATTCAATACTAACGCTGCGTTTCTTCCGCACGCTGCCCATCATCAGTCTGCAGAAGCAGGTGAGCGTGATGAGTATGAACCTCAGCGCCAAGCTGGACGAGTTGCAACGCGGCGATCGCCATCTTGAGACGACCGTCGCGCTCTGCGAAATCCGGACCCAACTTCAGGAGTTGACCAAGTCGGTGGAGAGTTGCCAATCGGAGGTCTCGGAAGTCAAGAGGGACATGGTGGCGATAAAGCACGAGCTGGACACCGTGCAGCAGGTCAAGGAGGAGATCGAAGAGTTGCGGGAGTACGTAGACCGGTTGGAGGAGCACACACATCGAAGGAAGTTGCGGCTGCTCGAACAGGTCTGTTTTACTTAACGATTTTATAATGAACTAGCTATTGCCCGCGGCTTGTGTTATTAATATAAAAAAATACATCACTTCCTTTTTTATTAATTTTTATTAGTTTTATTGATTTTCTTTCATTTTTTTATATTTATTCATATTTATTCATTTTTATTCATTTTTATTCATTTTTATTCATTTTTATTCATTTTTATTCATTTTTATTCATTTTTATTCATTTTTATTCATTTTTATTCATTTTTATTCATTTTTATTCATTTTTATTCATTTTTATTCATTTTTATTCATTTTTATTCATTTTTATTCATTTTTATTCATTTTTATTCATTTTTATTCATTTTTATTCATTTTTATTCATGTTTATTCATTTTTATTCATGTTTATTCATGTTTATTCATGTTTATTCATTTTTATTCATTTTTTTCATTTTTATTTATTTTTATTCATTTTTGTTCATTTTTATTCATTTTTATTCATTTTTATTCATTTTTATTCATTTTTATTCATTTTTATTCATTTTTATTCATTTTTATTCATTTTTATTCATTTTTATTCATTTTTATTCATTTTTATTCATTTTTATTCATTTTTATTCATTTTTATTCATTTTTATTCATTTTTATTCATTTTTATTCATTTTTATTCATTTTTATTCATTTTTATTCATTTTTATTCATTTTTATTCATTTTTATTCATTTTTATTCATTTTTATAAATTTTTATAAATTTTTATTAATTGTTATTATTTTTTATTTAGTTTTTAATAATTTTTATTAATTTTCACCTCCGTTTTCCCACCTTAAAATGTGAAAATCCAAAAACCACGAAACACTTCATTATTTATTTATGATGAAAACCTAAAATTCCAATTTTTTAGTTCCCACCTTTAAAAAAATCGATATTTCCAAATAAACTTTTACCCTTCCGTTCCCCCCTTAAAATGTGAAAATCCAAAAACCCTAAAACACATTATTAATTTGTACTCTTTAGCTGCAATTCCAATTTTTATGTTTCTAACTTCAAAGAGAACAAAAAAGTTATACTTCCATAAAAACTTTTGTCCCCATTTGCCCCCCTCATGATGTAAAAAAATAGAAACCCTAAAACACATTATTATTAATTTGTACTCAGTAGCTGCAATTCCAATTTTCATGTTTTTAACTTTAAAGAGAACCGAAAACATGGATACTCCCAAATAAATTTTCACCCCCCATTTCCCCCCTCAAAACGTGAAAATCCACGTCATTAGTAATTTGTAGTTAGTATAGTATCTTTCACTTGTTCATTATCATTTCAGCCATGATGAAATATTTGTTGAAGAAAGATAGTCACCAACAAACTCTTTTTATGTAACACCCTGGTGACATTAATTTAAGAGTTTAAATGTATATAAGCGATACCACTTCTGGAGTATATTTTATAAATTGTTTAAGTAGGCATCAGTAATAACTTTGTTATTTAAATGGTAACAAATCTATTAGATATTTAATTAAAGTGAAATTCAAAAATATAATTTTGAACGTCACAATTTTAGTGACAAGTTAACCGCAACTGATTGAAAACAGCTACGAAAAATTAATTTAAAACGCTTATTTTGTCGTTTCACTATTATGCGATTTAATTCTTTGGCCAAACCTATATCTTTTTTGCTCTATAAAGCTGAATCAAATGTCCGTCTCTCTTTAGCAAATTCCTTGCTGTAAAACCCGTCTACCGAAACATAATTTAAAAATTAATTATTCGAAAAAGCAGACAGTTTTTTATACTGTTCTCTTCTATAGGTATTCAGTTCTATGGTCCGCAAACGACGATGAAAAAAAAATCTGTAATAATAAATTGAATCGTTGTTGACAACATTTTCCTTATTTTATTAAATTCCTCGTTGGGATAACTGAATTTTCTTTACTTTATAAAATTCCTCGTTCGAAAAATACTGTGTATCGCAAAGTAGAAAAAAGGATTTTCTTTAAAGCCTTTGCTTATTTGGCAATGCAGCAAGTTTCGGGATAAGAGACTCACTTTTAAGAGACTGGATTTGTCCGGATCTAGCTGTTTCTCGAACGTCAGCGGCATATCTAAAAGATTCCGTCATTTACCAACTTTCAAATGACATATAAACAATCAATGAGTCGTAAATGGTTATCCAAAATGGCCGACTGTTTGGTTATCGAGGTAAAAAATAAATAGAAACTATATGAATTAAACTTGTATTTAAACTGGTTATCAAATTATCAATAATTAACAAAAGATCATGCCCATCAAGCTCTGGACTCTAGGCTTAGAATGTTCCCGCGCTCTGTCATTTGTCACACACTTCATCGGATCTAAATACCACACAAAGATCCGCGATGTTGCCAGGTCTCTGACAGTACACCGACCATCTTACCATAAAGAACTATAGTAGGATAATCGCCATGTAAAAGTTATTGGAGGCAATCGCGCCCGACATCTATTGGTACAATCATTGAACTAACGATTTTATTTACTGGTTAGATACGTCAGATGTTAGAACTTTATACAATTCCGTCAAATGAATTGTCAGTATATATATTTTTAGTTATTTAGATTAAATATAATTAAAAATTAGTGATTCTTGTAAAGAATCAATAAATAATAGCATTTCACAAGATATTCGTCTATATTTAGAAATAAACTGGGATTTTAATGAAACTAAAAGCAATCTGATTATCAGCGTTAAAAAGTAAAACTTTTTTATAAGTCTTCATAACGAAGATTTAGAGTACTTGTCTATGAATCGAAGGGTTCCGAGTTCAAACCCACGAGTAGACACTTTTTTTTATTAATTTTATTTTCTAAATTTGTAAAACTTAAATTAATTTCAAAACATGAATTTTATGTTAATGACATCTAAATCTTCATGCTCAAATTTCGTCTTTTTGCTATTACCACTCGGGATCATCAAATTATAATAGAATATTATAAGGTCCGGTAATTTTATTTAAATCTTTTTGGAATTTGAAAAATGTTTTTCAAAAAAATTGTAATTTTGGATTTTTATGTATAAAAAATCGTAGACTTCAACTGTTTTATTTAAAAAGTTCTAACTTAATTTTTTGGGAATGTCACCCTCACCATATCAGATAGGAGTGGGGAGGGGTGAATTTTTTAAAGCGATTTTTATTTTTATGGGATAATACTTCCATATACCAAGTTTAGTTGGAATATTTCGACCCTATCCCCAAAGCCGAACCCCAACCAAAAATCCTTATAGAACCCATTGTGTTTACTTCAATATTAAGAATTCATTTATATTATTTACCAACCATCTTAAGGTTTTTTTTTTATTACATTGTTACGCACCAGATTAAAGAAATAACCTGTCTTTTATAATTAGTTATGCTAAGTACTTAGGTAGGTACCTTACCTACCTATAGGTGTATTTAAATTAAAAATACAATTTTTTTCAACACTTAAGAAATTGCTGTTATTAATATTATATAATTTATTTTAAATTAATTCGGATAAAACCTGTAAAGGAAAAGAAAAACAAAAGCATATTTTCTATTTTATTAATTTCAAAACAGTTATAAATACACAAATTTTTATATAAATCATGTAATTACTCTTGTTGGGAACTCGTCCTTTATTAACAGTAAAATAATTCAGTAATAAAACAAACATAACTCATTCACAATACTTACTACCCGTAAACGCACTAACGCACAATAACAAACATTAGATAGAAAATAGTCCAAACATTCAATCACGAGTGAATAAAATTTCATCCAAGAGCTAAAAATAGAAATCCATCGATCGGTCTGCGTTATTCTCAAAAATTTCTGCTGGACCCTCAACTCCGCCCACTGCAAAAGAATATCGACTTATCCATATTCACTAGCGCCATCTATTGGTAGTATCCATTTCGCTCCAATAAAACTTCCATTAGGTGAGACTATACAATGATGTTACGTACGTTTCCTATTGAAAATATGTCACACACTCCTTCCTTACTACTTTATATACCTAGGGTATCATCGCTTAAAAACTGTTGTTATTTTATGACATTAGATATTAAATGACAAGCAGAGGTTATTATGAAATTAGATGAAATAAAACACCTAAAATTAAAGAATAACTATGGCACATCCAATCCGTTACATAGCTGAAACATGCCAGGTCTGAGGACTTATCATTGCTTTTATAGTAGAGGTAAATACTGCTCTGCTGTATCTACAAAATAAAAAAATTTAGTATTCTTACGTCCTTTTTAAGTTTTGCAGTTGTGACTAACTTTTATATATAAATACATGTAAGTTTTTCAAACTGTATATCTTAATAAAATAAAATGTAAGCTTATCAAATGTATAAAAATCTTGAAATTTTTGTAGATACGACTTCTTGTCTGAGCAAGGCAGAATAGGAGTACTAATCTTATTTTTACTGGTACTAAGATTACCAGAGTATTTTAACAATAAAACAATTTTTTAAAACATTTTAATAACTATAATATAATTGTTTTCATAGAAATTAGAATCTTGATTTATTTTTCTTTACAGGGTCTAACATTATTCCTCAGCTATGCTATCATGGCGGCGGTATTGGGAATGTTCCAGTTCGGATACAATACGGGGGTAATCAACGCACCCCAGGGTAACATCGAGAACTTTTTCAAAGGTCTTTACAAGGAGAGATATGGGCAGGATTTGACTAGCGACAAGGCGGAAATGCTCTATTCGATCGCTGTATCAATCTTCGCCATTGGGGGAATGTTGGGTGGCTTCGGGGGCGGCATGGTGGCTAATAAATTCGGAAGGTATGTAAATATTTTATTTTATTAAGTTCTGTAGTTATTTAATAATTATTTTTGTGTGTCATCGGCTTCAATTATTTTAGTTATTCCGCCTGTATCAAATAAAGTTGTATAACAATCATTATTATTAATTTTTAGTATATAAAAGAAAATATAATTAATACAACCTTTTGATTTAGTTTGGATTTGCGAGAAATGAAATCTCGAACCGAAAATGATTTTTTAAAAACTTTTATTTTACTTAGGTACAAGAAATTTAGATGTTTATGGCTTGAATGCTAAGTAGGAACTTGCTAGGAAGTGAATAAACTACTTTTATAAAAACAAACTATTAGAAACTGTATCATTAATATTTTTTATGTTTATATTTATATCTTCTACCAGAATGTGACTTTCAATATTATTACTGGTTCTGATTTAATCGAGGTAGAGTCTTAGATCATCTTCATTTACAGGCGGAGGTTTATAAATTGCAGTTACAAGTACTTTATTATGTTTATTAAATGTTGCAGTGATTTGAATGATTTTGCAAGGTTGCAAATTGATAATTTTGTGTGTAAAACTACCCTTTACCAGCCGTAGGTGACTCTAGAGTTGCTCCCATATCCTAATGAGTGTGTAGGAGCAACTACGTAACTGTGGTGGTGACAAGCGATGGTCCTTAGGCTAGTTAGTTGTTACAGTGGTACTCATCTATATAGATAGCAGACAATAACTGAGTCCAAATTACTTGCACCATTATAGGAACGACTGCGCACTCTTTTCCGGCCCAAAAGTTTTTCCAACGAATATTCCATATTTCATCATTGGGTCCACTTGTTTCGCTGACCTTTCATTTCTTCTGTGACCTACTGGATGGTGCTCCGCACCTAATTTTGCACGTTTTGAGTCACTTATAGTGTTTTTTGTCTTTATCACTCTTCTAGTATGGTTAACTTACATATTGGCCATCTCCGCATCCTAACAATATGGTCCAAACTTCTGTCAACTCTACATTGGACTAAATTGAATCCCCAGATTCAGAATCTCCATGTTTCATAACCTAGAGAACATTACAATTGTTTTATAAGTTATTTTTCACTAAACGTTTTCTATAGTTATATGTTTCCCTATTTTGCCATATTTTGTCTTTTGAGGGTTCATTTGAAGCAGCTACTTAATTATTTGTTAAACTTCTCAATTTGTAATCTTTATCTTTATTGGTTGTAAGTAGGTAGGGTTAGGTTTGGTTCAGAACACTGTGGCCTCTTGGGTCTTATTGTATTCCCCTGCTTTCCCCGCATTTAGGTACATCTTTGGAATAGTTCTGTGTCTTTGGTTAATTTTAATAGGTTCCCTACCAAGTGTTTCTGAGGTGTTCATTCCGGGTTTAGATCGAAAAGGATGAAACGTCGCCTAGTAAGAGCTTCGCATTCGAAGATCCCATGGTATAAGGTTTTTTCTTCTTTCATGCAGATATACGTAATGGTGTACTTCTCAGTACTCTTGAAATATAAAGGCATGCCAGCCTCTGAACTTCTGAGAGGGTATTGAGAGCTGTTTTCTGGTTTACTTTTGGCCACCAAATAACCGCTTCATAAGTTATCACGGGTCTTGTTATTGTCAAATATAGCTAGTGGACCATTTTTGGTTTTAATCCCCATGTTTTTATAAATGCCCGTTTCCTTACAATGAGAGACATTTTACATTTGTTGGACACTTTTTGTAAGTTTGCTATTTAGGATTAGACCCAGATATTTTACTTGGTTTGTTTTGTTTGGCCTTCCTCCAAAGAGAATCGGAGTTTCTTAAACCTCCAGTTTTATTTTTCGCACCACATTTCTGCCAGCCTAAGAGCTCTACTATATTTTTTAGGTATTCAACACTACTAACCTTCACACATATTCAACTAACACCATTGTTTTCTATTTGTAGACCTGATGGTTATCTAAGACCGAAACCGGTTGTCATATTTTTGATTAAAATTGTTTTACGTAAGAATGATTCTGTCCTTCGTTTGATTGTAATTTTTGCTCATATTTTTGGTAATTTCTAAAAATATAGTTACGACGAAAATACCTACTTTTGAACAGATACTTTTCCCAATAGAAATAAGTGTCCCAAATCTATACGATTAACGTATGTACATTTTCCTTCGAAATACCCCCGTAAATAAAAACTTCACTGATCTAAGTATATTTATTATTATACAGAAACTGTCGCAATATATCCAAATGTTCATTAATTTTTTTGTAAATACTTAAAACGGCAATATTTTAGTCCTTCACAAACTTCTCCATCTGCGGAACGCAATATAATAAATTTCGTTTTCATTCCATTTACAAATATTATTATTACAACTGGTGATGGTCATTTCGCATTTCGTAGAGACATAAATCATATAACCGAAGCGAGTTGAAGTTTTTTTTGTCTTTTTGTGTTCGCAGGAAAGGCGGCTTGCTGCTCAACAACGTCTTGGGTGTCGCTGGAGCGTGCTTAATGTGGTCTACGAAAGTTGCGAAATCCTACGAAATCTTGTTCGTCGGAAGATTTATTATAGGGGTCAATTGCGGTAAGTAACAAATATTTGAAAAAATCTTTAATTTGGGTCGTGTCGTTTAGTAATAGGGTGCCCAGCTAGCACAAAAACATCCCATCTACGTTAATAAGCTGCAATTTTAGGCTCTTTAAGCTCGCATGCAATGTACTGTAAATGTAACCCTTATCTCCATGCAACTACCGAATGTCCGCAACGGCAAGACTTTTATAGCACATCTCACAGAAGTTACAAAGTGAAGTTCGAAAAACATCACACTAGCACTTTTACGATACTTACCCCGAAAGTTGCTCTGAAACGTTCTATTGATGTTACAATGTGAATTAGATCCACAGCATTATACAGTGTGTCCACAATGACTAGGTACATATTATTATATTAGATTACTAGAGGATAGCTAAGTTCGCTGATTTCTTACCTAAGACGCAGAGATATATCTTTTTTAAATCAAGCCTTTTAACTTTTTTTGCATAGATATTTATAAAGTGCTATAATGTAACCTAAATATGACAATTTATTAGAAGAGCATAAATTATATTTTTATATAAAAAGATTTTACTTCTCAATACATTGAATAAAAAAGAAATTGATAACTTGTTTACCTATTAAAGGAAATTATATAGAAATTAAAAAATATGCCTTACTTTGTTGTTTTAAATAAAACAACCAATGTTAGTGAAACTTCATTTGGTCTTCCTCAAGGAAGCGTTTTAAGTCCACTTCTATACCTTATTTATACACAAGATTTGGAACGACATATATCTATTCCTACAAAAATTCTTCAATTTTCTGATGATATTGTTTTGTATACTCAGCATAAAAGTATTGATTCTAGTATTTATCAACTATCATTAGGTGTAGAAGACATACAGAAATGGTTGTTTGAAAATGGTCTAACAATTTCAGAAAACAAGTCAGCGGTAGTTTGCTTTACAAGGAAAAGAACTCAACTTTCAAATGTTGCTTCACTAGGAAATTGTCAATTTCAACTTAAAAGTAGTCATAAATTCTTGGGTGTCATATTGGACAAGAAGCTAAACTGGAAAGAACATATTAATTATATTGTAAAAAGAACAGAAAATGCTGTAAATTTAATAAAAACTGTTTCCAAATATAATTGGGGTGCAGACCCCAACATAGCAATTCTTTTTTATAGGGTGCTGATTAGATCAATTTTTGACTATGGTGCAATATTATACAATGATGCATCAAACACTCATTTGCAAAAATTGGACAGAATAAAATACAAATGTCTTAGATTAAGTATAGGTTTTCTCCCAAGTACTCCAATTAATGTAATAGAATTAGAAACTACAGAACCTCCTCTCAATTTTAGAAGAAAATTTTTATCCGAAAAGTTTTTAATAAATCAAAGGGCGAAAAATTCGGTTCCTCTCCCTCTTTTATCCAATTTATCTTCTCTGTGTTTAACTGGAAAGTATTGGTCAAAGAAAAAACTTCCTTTACTAGTAGAGACTTTTTTATCTACCATTGAAATGATTCCAGACCCCCATCAACAAAATGCAATTCCACTATGGTCCTTACATTTTTCAGCTTTAACAACGCCATTGAAAACATATATAAACAAAAATCTACTGAATGAAAACCCTCTAGTGATTAAAAACGCATTTAAAGAAGATTTAATAACAAAATGGAATACATTTGAAAACATATATACGGACGGATCTAAAATTGGGAACCAATTAGGATGTGCAATTTTGTATCCTAACAAAAATTATGAAATTTCATTTAAACTTCCCAGTACAATGTCAATATACAATACTGAACTTGTTGCTATAAAAGAAGCTTTTAACGTATGTCTTCAGGAAAATAAATCTAAATATGTTATATTTACTGATAGTAAGAGTGCAGTAGAATATTTTGCAAAATGGAACGTTACCAGTCCTACCAACTATATAGCCTCAGAAATTCTTAAGCTTAACTATCAATGTTTGGAACAAAATAAAGAAATTTCGTTGTCGTGGATAAAATCTCATGTAGGTATTAGTAACAATGAGAAAGTGGATATACTAGCAAAAAAGGCTACTGTTTCGGGAACTAATAAAAATATTAAAACTCCAAAATCAGATTTTATTGCTAAATCTAAATTATCAATGTTTAAAACTTGGCAAGATTCATATTCTAAAGAAGAAAAATCTGATGTGTCCAACACATGACTTTCCTATCTAGTTATTATAGGCTTTATAGGCGGTTATTTTGTACAACCTATTATACCTCCTCTATAAATATTTAGGGAATAAACTAAATATATACATTTTCCACATACATTTAACTCGAAACATTTTTTTACAGATATTCATTGAAAACGAATGTACTGAAAAATTTAAATTTAGTACTTTTCTCCAATTTTTCCATTACGGTTCATTTTCGAAAAATCATGTAAAAACAAAAATTATAGAGATCAATATCGCAAACAATTTTTAGTTTAACAATTTTCTTAAAAATCAGAATTTTGCACATTTTGTCAAATTTCTCGAATACGGACCATTTCAGGAAATTTTGACATAAAACAAAAATTATAGATAATAATATTAGAAATAACTTTTATTTGAAGAATATTCTTCCTCAAACGTATATAACAGATATATTCCATAAAATATAAAAACGGCCTTTCATAAAGTACCCCCCCAGATGTTCCGACTATGTCTAAAATCTAATAATTTAACGTCAGGCCGAAATAAACCTTAAGTTTAAAATTTAATGTTTTTTTCTTTATCCGTTTTTGAGTTTTCTTCAAAATTCGAAATTTACACATTTTCTCAAATATCTCGAATACGGTCCATTTTAAAAAAATTATGTATAGAATAAAAATTATAGAGAATTTTATTACAAACAACTTTTATTTGAACAATTTTTATAAAAAATTATTTTTTTTTACATTTTGTCAAATTTCTCGAATACGGACCATTTTAGGAAAATTTTGCATAGAACAAAAATTATAGATAATTATATTAGAAGTAACTTTTATTTGAAGAATTTTCTTCTCCAAATGTAAATAACAGATATATTCCATGAAATATAAAAATGACCACCTATAAAGTACCCCCCCCCAGATGTTCCGACTCTGCCCAAAATCTAATCAGCTCATTGGACGCTAAAACAAAGCTTAAGTTTAAAATTTGGTGTTTTTCTGTGTATCGGTTCATGAGTTATGCGTTATACAGACACACACACACACACACACACACACACACAGACACACACAGACACACACACACACACAGACATCATCGCGAAAATAGTCAAAACGGATTCAGGGGACCTCAAAACGTAAAAATCCGTCGAAAACTCGAGGTCGAAAAAAATCATGATTCCTATACTTTCCTTATATCTGTATACAGATAGGAAAGTAAAAAGGGAAGAAATACAAAAACATTCAACCTAATATTCCAAAGTGTCCCTGGTTTAAAAACGAAATAAATAGGTCTTTTATCCGAGTTATTTGTCGTATGAGAAGTAATCATGCTATGCATCCTGCCTACAAGGAAAAATTTGGTCTATCAGATAATAATTTATGTTTAATTTGTGATGAAATTGCTGATCTCAATCATATAATTTTAGAGTGTGTCCTAAATTCGCTAGATACTGATACAATGTACTTAGAATTAGTTAATATTGGTATACCTCTACCAATAAACATTGATGTTCTGCTTTCATTAAACGATGTTAAAGTTTATAAAATATTGTATGAATTTGTTAAAAAAACTAATACAAGATTGTAAGTAGCTGAGCTACCCTAAAAATATTGTAAACCTGAAACGAAAAAATAAAATAAATGATAAAATAAAAAAATGAAATCAAGGAAAAAAAGAAAAAAAAAACAAAAAATAATACAAAAAAAAATAATACAAAAAAAATAATACAAAAAAAATAAAAAAAAAAAAATAAATAAAAAAAAAATAATCAAAAATACATATAATAAAAAAATAGACATTTTTTATAATTAATTACAAACTTAGGTATTTTGATAGCTGTAAGTCAAAATATAATAATAATAATAATAATATAATCATGTAACAATAGTGGATAAAACAATTAAAGAATTATGGATTACTACAATAGTCTGGCCTTTTGGTTTTATCCAGTGCCATTAAAAAAAAAAAAAAATGTTAGTGTATTGAAATTTGTTTGAATTTTACAAATTTTATGCTTGATTTCCAAAGTAGATATATCGATGGCTCAATCAAAAACCGCCACAAGTCAAAAAACAAAGCAATTACATTTTTGGTTCAATGGATGCAAAATATCATTACGGTTTTACTTTAAATACCACCACAAACAAAAATATCCTTAAAGATAAATCATTTAAAATGTAGCCACAAACTGTGTCTAAAACTTATTTTCTTCAAAAACATCCAAATTTTTTACAACTATGCAACAACTCACTTTTATAATCGTAATCATTTTATTTAACAGCAAAATATCGAAGCTTTTAAATAAAATATAAAGAGTATGTCAAAAACAAAATAATGATAATAGAGACTTACAAAATTTCAAAATGAAATTTCTCGAAATACAGTGAAACCTGTGTAAAACGGAATCGCACGGTCGTGCACCGATTTTCCGGCATATACAGGATTCCGCGTTACACAGGGTAGATAAAAAATTGCACATAGTAGATTTAAAAAGTGATGATTTTATTAAAAAAAATCTATTATACGTACATTTAATATATAGTTGTTATTATTACTATGTACCTACATATTTTTATTTATTATTAGAAACAATATAAATTATTATTTATTCCACATTTCTATCAATGTAAGTTGTTTTTTATTCTTTTGTAATACGTAAGATGATTCCATGAATGTCCTTAATTCTAAAATCTTCTTTCTCATCGGTTCGCTCTCTATTCTTTGGGAAAAATCCTCTAACGCTGCAACACTCCTCAAAGCTTCAGAAAAATTTTTTATCCGATCGGATTCTTCAACTTCTGTTCCTGTAGATAAAAATAATAATTTAAGAACAGATCGTTTTGAAAAGCTAATGGGAAA